TGATACTAGTAATTGAACATGTGTCCCTTCTAGAGTTTCAGAAGAAATCCCAACAATGTCACACACTGCACTCGGATTTGCCCAGATAGGAAGGTCTGTGATCAACAACAGTCAAGAGAAAAGTAATTCGATAGAGCTTAACTTGTATTGAACCTCCATTTAAGATCTGTATTCAAGAGGCACCACAAAAGACTAACCAATAAAACATCTCCTCTGAGAAATGAAGCCCCAAAATATTTGTCATGCATGTTGACAGTGTCTTGGTGTGATATTCATAATAAATATAGTAAGACAAAAAGCATGGGTCTGAGATAAACAGACAAGTTGCTGTGTCTCCGTCGAGGACGCGTGTAACTGCATTAGCATTATCAAAGCTCAGTCCACGTAGGGCCGTGAAAATGTTTTCGGATGCTGAAGTGATGCATTCTTTGATAAAGTGCCATGAGTGCAGATGTTTAAGACAGACACAGTTGGTGAAAGGTGAAGTCTGAGACTGGTTTGATCTCGGCCTTGTTGTGATCCTATAGAAGTCGGTGTATTAAAGTCCAGATGCCTCTCAGTCATAAATCATTCATTCGCTAACTCGCTCTCTATCACACTCACTTCACCATTGATGAAATTATGAAGAGACGGCCACCGTGGCTGTGAAGAAACGCTGAAAAGAAAAAGGACAGAAAATATCTTGAGAAAAATACTGGGAGCTTCAGAGGAAAAAATGTGTTAAGCTTCCAGCTTTGCAATAAATCTATAATGTGTGTGTGTGGGATACGTGCTGTGTGCAGTAATGCGTTTGAGACAAAGAACTGTTTTGTGGTTGTTGAGGCCATGAGTGTGTCTTCATTTTGAATGCTGGTCCTTTTGATCATGAACGATCTTCTTTCAGTCGTCCTAAACCCCCTGAATTCGTGATTTCTCCTGTGGCACATTATTTATATTCCTTTGAAAATTCAGAGCCTTTATATTAGTGATCCTTTTAGATTCCAGACAGTCTGCATTTATTAGCATTGATGAGTTTAAACTGGTCAGTACTCATTGATGATCCATATATATGTATGTGTGAGTGTGCCATTACATGGTCAGTGCTGCGATGGAGTGTTAGTTATCCATCTCTCTTTCCTCCACACACTTGGATAATTAACACTTGCTTACTAAATGAATTAGCTGTCAATCCCCTGAATCCAGCTGTAGCTTTTTTCCTGTGATGTGACACTGAAAAATAGCATCATTGCTTTTGATCGTATAATGGTAAAAGAGATTTCACGCCCTGAACTAACAAATATCTCCTTTGAAGTCTATTCAAGAGAAAAAGATTGACACATTTTTAACATATCGGAGTGGAGTTTGTAGAGTTAGTTATGTTCCTCAATTCCATTCGAAGATATTTAGAATAACAGCACTGGGATTTTTCACTGTTTGTATAAAGTAAAATATCAATACTGAAAATGTTATATGTTAAGGACTATTTGTTTAAATTAAATTAAATTACATTCACATTTTTATTTGTTTAAATTAAATTAAATAAAAAATAAATTAAATGTGTTGCTTTATGATACTTCATGTTTAACATTACATTACATTTAATTAAATTAAAATTAAATTGATTTACAGTACTTCATGTTTAAATTAAATTAAATAAAAAAATACATTAAAATTGTATTAAAAATGTAATTGTAAATTCAATTAAATTATTAAATTAAATTAAATTTGGTGCTGCATGTTTAAAATTAATTTGATTTTGTTTTACTTTGTGTTACAGGAGAAAGAGAGACTTTACCTTGAGCTAAAACACATCCTTGCTCGGCAGCCTGGTCCAGAAGCAGCGGAAAAACTACAGGTTTATCAGCGAACACTCCGAGAAAAGACTAAACAACTGAAGGTCCTCTAGAAAACTTCTCTTCTCTTCTCTTCTCTTCTCTTCTCTTCTCTTCTCTTCTCTTCTCTTCTCTTCAACTGAAGGTCCTCTAGAAAACTTCTCTTCTCTTCTCTTCTCTTCTCTTCTCTTCTCTTCTCTTCTCTTCTCTTCTCTTCTCTTCTCTTCTCTTAAATAAAGTAGTATAATAATAAAAAAAAGTAGTATTGCCAAATAAATAATTTATTATTAAATAATTAATATATTAAGTAACATTTTTAATTAAATTATTTAGCACAATAATTTCTTTTTTCTTTCTGAGATATGTCAGCGGGATCACTGAAGGCTTTTTCTCACATCAATCATTCCTCCTCTCACTCCTCTCCCATCATCCTCATCTCCTTATTCCCCCTCTCACCATGAATAATTACAAAATGAATAATTAGTTATTTCACCACTTAATTAAGAGTTCAGGTCCATCTGGAGATAGCGACCACTAATGTAATTTTTAATGAGTCCGTTCGGTTTAAGCTGCCTCGTCCTGTACCTATTAAATAGGCAAGAGACAGAGATGAGAGCAGTTAAAAAGTTATGAGTCTCTTCTGAGCCTTAGGTGACCTTATAATATCCATATGGCATTGATATAGGTTGATCTTAAAGCTGCGTTTTGGTCAGGTTTTTGCCATGTAACAGCTAACATTAGGATGCAGGAAACTGGCCCTGGATCTGAAAACCAGGCAAACCGTCCTCTGCAGTCAGGATAGTAGAAAATGCTCCGTTACAAATGCTCTGTTACATCCATTTTTGTAAAGAATGGACGTAACAGACTTTAAAGACTCAAAACTCCTTAGCTCGGCACAAATTCAGAGCTGATCTATTAGAATATCTGCAGTGTGAAGTATAACACTCTCTGGCGCCCTTGAACTTAAAAATAATGGCCCGAAGGTAGGCATAGGGGGGTTTGGCTTTCTGATAATTTATTGCCAAGCTTAAAATGAGTTACGCACCGCAGGCATCACTGGCAAAGCTTTAAATAAACAAAGCTCAGCGTAATTAACATTAGAACAGAAGCCTTACTAATGAACCAAACAGAAAAGTCATCCCATTCTTTGTTTTGATTGAAGCATGTCCTCCCGCTCCAGCCCCCTTTAGGAAATTAACATTAATGAACACCGGTCTTTTGACTCTCCATGCTTGTTTGGAAGATGTTTCCAGAGTTTTGTCTTTGTAAAATACCCAGTAGTCTGAATAATATTATACGCTGTATGAAAAGCTCATAGCAGATTAAGTATTTTGTTCATTTAAAAATGTTATGTGCCAAAAGTGCAGTTTTTGTTTAAAAGTTGATTAAACAATGCAAATTTCAGCCCAATTCATCACCTGAATTTGAACATGTTTCAGTTGTTGCTGATTCCCCTGGAATAAAAAAATAAATAATAATAAATACGCAAGTAAATAAATAAATAAATACATACGTAAGTAAATCAATAAATATACAATTATAATTATAATAATTTGTGGCAGACTTGGAATTGATTTATTTTTAAAGTTATTATTATTATTATTATTAGTTTAAATTATTATTATTTTTTAATATTTTTATTCAGTTTTGTGAATGGAAGAAAAAAAACTTTCAATGTACAGACACATTTGGAATATCTGTGCAATAACCTTGCCAAATTGTAAAATAAATCCCAATGTTCAATAAATAATCAAATAAAAAAATGCTAATAAAATCAATAAAATTCCAAAAATAATTAATATTGTTAATAACTAAACAATTAGTCTGCCAAATAATACTGATTTGGAACTGGTTTATTAAAGTTTTCTTTTAATTTAATACAAATATTTTATTTGGAATTGAATTGTTGAAGTTTTAAAATGATCTTATATTTGTATTTTCTAATAATTTGTATTTAATTTTGTAAAAAAACATTTAAAGTAAAACATCTTTCAATGAGCAGAAACATGTTGAATGCCTGTCGTGTGCAATACCCTTTGCAAATCATCCAATCCAAAACCAGCTCTGCAGCACAGCACATCCAAGATTTCTTCATTTATTACTTCCTATCTACTTCCATCCTCTCTCACTTTCTGTCCATCTTCCTCCTTCTCTTTAGCATTTCTCTTCTCTCTGTTCTTTTGATTACTGAGCTCTGGGCTCTTGGGTCACCTGCACTATGTGGGTGGTTTCGAGCACATTGGATGAATGACAGTTAGAGCTTGACTGATATGTGCAAAGATTGACGGAGATCAATGAGATGCCGCAGAGGAAATCAGTCCATTCCTTGCTCAGAGGGAGGGATGAGGTGACCGTGTTAAGCCAAACACATCCTCAGTGATAGATCACAACTGTACAACTAGGACCCATTTATAGCAAAGAGGCGCCTACTGAAGGGCGAGCGCAGCTTTAGGAAACATTGCAAAGTAATTGACAAATGGGCTCTTTGATGCTTTGCAATATTTAGATGGTTGGAAGCACCAAAGCAGTGCATATAAAAGGAATAAGCTGCTTGAGGCTGTGAGTTACAGTGTTTTACCGTGATTATCAGGCATTATGTGGAGCACTTAATCATGCTGCAATCACGGTAAGAATGTGTTGCTTTCATAAAATGATACTTTAATTAAAAGCAACATATAATATGTTCAATATATAATACAATGAAAAAGATTCCAATGAAATTAATTAAAAAGTACCAAAAATAATTACTGTTGTTAATCACTAAACAATTAGTCTGCAAAGCAATATAATTAATCTACCTAACTGTAGGCTGTTTCAGCTCTGAATTAAACAAAAAAAAATTGTTCGTTAAAAAAAAATTATTTATTTTTAATTAACCACAATTGCCTACTAATTTTTCAGTGTTTACTCTTTTAAAAAAATCGAATCGACCAGATAGATGTATTTTTTATTATTATTATTAAAATATGCTTAAATACAACAAATGATCATATGTACTGGTCTTTGTGCAGGTGACCCAGTTATGGTTTCCAGGCAAGTTTGATGCAACCAAGTGCATTAATATAGAATTTACATGTAAAGTAACAGGTGTGCACATATCAAATATTTTAATGGTTTCAAGCATAGCTTGTCCAAACAGATTTTGACTGTGCTAACAAAATTTGTCCACCCTTTTCTTTCCTTTCACAGGTCTTAACAGCAGAGCTCAACATGCACGAGTCGCATTCAGAAGACTACAAGTATGAGATCGAACGTTTGGCCCATGAACTCCAAGAAGTCAAGAAAAAATACCTTGCACAAAAACAAAAAGACTAGGAGTACAGGTGAGAAAGAAAGGTTTAAACCCAAAAATGACAATTCTGTCATCATCTACTCACCCTCATGTCCTTCAAAACACTGACACTGACTTTCTTCTCTGGAACACAAAAAGACCATTTTTGAAGACTGTCTGTGAAACACTTCAGTTTACAATAAATGTGGACTGAAGTATTCAAGCTTAAAGAAGGATGCAAAGGCACAATAAAACTATCATAAAAGTAGTCTCAATGGCTCATATTCTTCTGAAGTCATAAAGTCTAAAGCTATAAAGTTGTATAGACCAGGTTTATGACGCTTGTGGTGCTTTTGCATCCAAAGTTTGAAAACATCAGTCACCATTAATGAGGAGTAAATGATGACAGAATTTTCATATTCGGCTAAACTAAGCATTTAAAAACAACCATGTGCCAGTATTTGAGTGTGCATGAGGATTCAGGTGGATGACGTTAATCCCTGATCAGCATATAATATAACATTATACCCACAGTATAAATCAGACCAGCAGAAAGCCCTTATAGTGTTTTCTATGTGTGTGGTGTCTGTCTATCTGTATATTTCATGGTCCTGACAGAAAATTACCTTCAATATTGCCAACAAGCAGACAAGAACGGCACCCTCTGACACGTCCGAAAATGATACCTCAAATAACAGTGAGAAAGGAAAAAGGCATTTGGAGTTGGAGAGAAATCAATGAGCCAGTGAATTGGAAAGATTTCTCTCATTTAGTCTCTGTGTTCTTGGGAGCAAATTGTGACACTGAAAATTATTGTGCAGTAAGAAGGTTATTTCCTTTAACCAGGAAATTAACGTTCTTAGAATTGACAAGACGGTTGACCCTGAGTGGTCAGCTAAATATCTACAGTGGATCTAAAATATGAATAGTTAATTATAACTAGTTATGGTTAATTATTCATATTTTCCATGAGCTGATTTGCTACAGAGTGATGCAAAATAGCTCTCTGTTACTTGCTGATTAGTAGGTCCCTGCCAAGTTCCACTTCTATTGGCCTTCGATCTGATGAAATTATGACTAATCGTGTGGTATTTTGGAAGCATGTATGTTGATTAACCTGGGGAGTCTTATTTGCTAGCGCACTTGCTTGGGAGAAATCCATTCTTATGTAAATGTCCTGTTGAATTGACAATTTATGTAAATGTTTTTATGACAATTTAAACACAAATTAGTTCTGCGGGTGTTTCTTGAATATATTTTTCAAACCATAAATGACAAATAGGCTTTGTTATGGTTGGGGGGTTGGAAGCTTGCACATTTCTTTTTGAGATTTGCTGGTTACAAAATTCAATAAAAGAGCACATGGCTTTCTTCAGTTAGAGGTTGGCACGTCTGAAGCAACAGACACAGATTGCATGGATCTGATTGGCCAGTCTCTGCCGCCTGGTTTAGAAGCACAACTGCTCTACTTCCTGAAACATCACGGAATGTTCCACTGTTTTAACTGGACAGGTTTCAGACTTAGTGGTTGACCAGTAGGAGTCTAAGAAAAATTCCTGGTTGCCTTTGTGTGGTGTCTTAATACGAGTGAAATTAATAACATCCATCATCTCTGCTGATCTACAATTTCATAACTGTATCCCAGAGAATGACTTGATTTCTAATTGAGATATATAGGTGAGTTAATTAATTACTTTTCTCTATCAGTCCTCACAGATTTATTCAGTGTGTTTGATATGTCTATTAATCAAAATAATGAAGTAGAAATACGTTGTCGGACTCTGTTACTTGTTTTGTGTGTGTTTTGCTCCCTTCCTTGCCCTTATTTGGTCCTTCCTGTTCCTGTCCCCATTTAGTTCTATTAGTTCCAGGTGTTCCTTGTTATTAGTTATCCACCTCACCTGTCTGCCCCTCGTTATCTGCCCTATTTGAGTTCTAGCCCGTTCTGTTCTCCCTTGTCCGGAATTGTATATGTCTACCCTTGCTACGTGTGTTTCCGTGGTCCCTGGATGTGATCAAACTCTATATGTTTGAGTTCCACTCCTCGTCAAACATATAGATTATATATATATATATGGAACATATACATGCTTCTCACTAGCGAACCGTGACATACGAATACTACTGTTGAAAAAAAGTTTTGAGTCAGTAAGATTTATTAATGCTTTTGAAAGAAGACTCTTATGCTCACACTGGCTGCATTTTATTTTGATCAAAAACTCCAGTGAAAACAGTAAAATATTATTACAATTTAAAATAACTGATTTCTATTTAAATGTATTTTGAAATCTAATTTATTTCTGTGATGGCAAAGCTTAGTTTTCAGCATTGATTACTTCAGTCTTCGGTGTCACATGATCCTTCTGAAAATCATTGTAATATCCTGATTGGTTGTGTAATTGTTTTTACTGTCAGTTTTGATCAATTTATTGTGTCCGTGCTGAATATTTATTTATTTTTTATTTTTTTTACCACAAACAAACAAATATTTACTAAAAAGTACTTGAGTAGAAACGTTTCTTTTAACGTTTTCTTTCTCCTCACTTCATTTAGTAAAGAAAATGAGCAATAAAAGGAAAAATGAACCTTATTGTTACTGTTACAAGCTGGTTTTCAGCTGGTTTATCTGGTTAGTCAGCTGATCTCCCATTCTGACCAGCCATAAAAACCAGATTGTTGGCCTTCTAAGACCAGCAAACCATCATAGCCTCGGTTAAACCGGTTTTCTTTTTCAGCAGGGCTTGAAAATCAGAAGACACAATCAATGTGAGCTTTAAATGTGTTTTCAGTTATAAAATAAAGCAGATACCTTTTTGGCTTTATAAACGCTGTGAAATGCTGATAAAGTAATGTGGCATGAGATTAGGTTCATATTTCTGGAGTCTCCCGCTATCCTATCCTGGAGAACTGTTTGCATATTTATCAGATATAACGTTCATAAGGTAATGAAATGCGATTACCCTGTCCATTTTGTTGGTGCCATATAGTTAATATAATGTTCTTGTTCTTCTCATAAAAATGTCAAACGATATTTGGTAACACTTTACTTGAAGGGGTGTGCATAAGACTGAC